AATCTTTTGCATGCACTATGGACAACAACCAGCAAAATCAAATGAGCGCAGCGCTTGAAAGAAGACAATATGAGCAATATTAGTATCTATGCGCTCAAAACACTCAGATCTTGACTGGACAGCGGAGCATGAATGAGAGGTTGGATGAGGCCCTATCAGAGCTCAACGCCTTAAGGCTGGACGTCAGCACCCTTGGTTACCAGGATACTGACACAGAAGCCACTCCTACCAGATGCTCTCGCACCAGGAGTAGAGGACGTGGTCACCAGTAGTTTTCTTTATTTTCTATGTATTTTTTTTCTTTCTTTTTTTCTGTTTCATTTCCTTTTCGTTTGTTTTTGTAATTGTACTTTCCCGCCTATATACCACAACATTGAGGACAATGTCGGATTTAGTGTGGGAGAGGTACCTTTCCATCTTTTATAAACTAGTAAATTTTTATGATATGTCTCAATTCAAATTCTTCGCTTTATTTAGCCATACCGAAATTTTTTTATCTTCGCATTAGCCCGACATACCTATTTTAACGAAATCCCAGTTGAGGAAGCCGAAAACGACATAACAAGATCGATACGGTTATGACACCGTAGACTTCCTACTTATGCGATCCGTTTCAATAACCATTATACCGATATCTGGAGTTTTAGTTCTAAAGTAACCCCTAGTAGTTTATACTAGCAGTCAGCACCGTCTTGACACAAACCACGTGAAGAATCGATGAATATAAGTGTTTGATGCTTAATCATTGAAATATCCTTCTTATCTCGCTGCTAAAAGAAAAGAAATTTTGTGCACCAAAATATACGGTCACATATAAGAGCTGAGCAAATAATGAAGGAATCCACTGTTGGTTGGTTCAGAGGTATCTGGTTCTGGACTTGGTAGGGCGTGCTACGGCCCGATCCCCCACAACCTCCAATTTAGATAACATATGTAGGGTTTCCACAATCGTGTACCAGACCCCATGCTTAAAGGATTAAAGTCACTAACCGGTTACTCCACTACGTGCGTGCTAAGACAAAAGGCTTAATGTGATTGCGCCAGAACGAAACCGGGTGAAATAGATACGAGGAACTCTGGGAAGAATTATAACAGAACTGTTGGATAGCTCGTTTGAAATGGAAGCCTACGACTAAGCTTATTGCTTGTGTCATTAGCGTATCTTTAGTGTTTCACTCAAGTATCGGCCGAACCGACGAGGATTTCCCGAAATTACTTTAAAAATCCAAGGTATGTCATGCTTATGCGCTTGACAAAACTTGTCCGACCTTTCAAATGACTATTTACTTGAGGACAAGCAAAGGTTTAAGTATGGGGAATTTGATAACGAGAAATCGTATCATATAATTACTATGCTTTTTACCGATTTTATAATACATTAAGTCATCTAACTCCCGATTATTCCGAGTTTATTTGTCTTTTCACAGGTATAACATTTGTCAACTCAAACCAATGGAAAAGGACTACATAAAGGAGGCTAGACAATAAACAAAGAGAAAAAGAACTAAAACTGCAAAGTTTGGGAATTTTGGAGCAGTGACGGTCGTCACACCCTTGTGACGGGCGTAACGACCCCCAACTTGAAGCCACGCTCGTCACACATCACTGACGAGCGTAATGCGCTATTTTAGCGCGTTACGGCCGTCACCCACCTATGACGACCGTCACGCGCGTGAAGATGGACATTGTAAATGGGTGGAGACGTGGGCAACGCAAGGGCAGACTTGTTCTCCTATTTTCCCTCCACTCAGTAACCATGCTCCCTATATTTCCTCCACTCAACCTTTTCTCAAGACACTTTCAACTGCTATTTCCTCTGCTATATATGTGTGTGGTAGTGCAAAGCTGCAGGGGTCGAAGGAATTTTCCCAGAACAAATTTATTACTTTTGCAATTATTTTTATTTCCTTGTTTTAGAGCAATTTTTCCACATACTGTAATTCCTACTTTCAATATTATTTTAAGCTTTAGTTTTTAGGTGTTAATTCTTCATTCAAGAATTAACACAATTTATTTACTTCAATCAAGCTGCAAGGAATATTGTAACATTTCAAGATTACCATAGCAACGTTAATTCCAGGTTTTTATTGCAATTAATATTTATTCATTTTCGTATTATGCCAATTATTCTTATGAATTATATTTTGAATTGCATTGTTGTTAAATCTATTATGTCCGGCTAAATTATTCGTACCGGTATGTGACTCTTAAGAACTGAAAGAATTCAGTGATACCTTGGCCAAAAATATTTATTTATAAAACAATTTCTAGTTTCCAATTTCCAAGCTTAATTTAACTACCCTTGTCACGAGAGTGAGAGGTTAATTAACACGATTTTGCCACGAGAGTGGGAAATTAATTAAGGCAAGAACCTGCATGCGAGAGCTGGGGTTCAACCCAGATAGTAGTAACAAAACATTAATTTTTAAATACACGAGAGTGTTTTAATAAATTAATTAAACTCAAATTGTTTTCAAAAAGTGTTATTAAATTTAAAGTGCATCCACTAGGTTTAGTAGCATAACTTATTTCATGAACACGAGAGTGTATGTCTCAGGTTTTTAAACAATTAGTTTTTACCGAAATACTTTATAGGCCAAGCGATTCACCGAATTCCCGAAGGCCGATTATCACATACCGGTATAATTATTACTATTATTTTTAATTAAACTGTTTCCCCCCTAAAATCAAATATTCATCGCTTAGTTAAACAAACTGTAACATTAGATCGTATGCGATTGATCCTCAGTCTCTGTGGGTTCGATAATCTTTTAAAACTAGAACGACTAAACTGTATACTTGCAGTTAGTATCCCGATAGACTTATAAAGTCCCGATCAGTGGTCGACCGGGTCTGCGACTCCATCGTATTCCTTCAGATGTGGAGGCTTCTCCATGCCCGGGGGAATGGGCGCCTCCATGATAGCCTGTGACAGGGGACCGCGGGGGTCGTCCTCGTCACTTCGCTCCGGGGACAGGGATGGGGACCTGTAATATTGTCGAGCCCGACGGTCCTGGTCGTGCCGGGCATCTCTCGAGCGTGGTGCTCGTTGGTTGATTCTTCTATGCCCGTCTCCGGAGTGTCTTCTTTCTTGTCGTGTGGGGGCGTGGCCGCGTCCCCCGACTTCAATGATGGGTTGCCTCTCCAAAGGGGGCCGTCTCCCCGAGGGTCGGGGTGACGGGCTTCGGGAGGTATCTCTGTAGTGTCTCCGCGGGGGAGACGGGAGATGTACCTCTGTTACTCGAGGAGGTGGAGTCTAGGGCCTCAGGTGCCTCCTCGGGGGTCTTCGATCGTCTTCTAGTGCCCTCAATCTTTCCCCTTGGGCGAAGATGAGGTAATTCGTCTGATTAATCGCCGCGAACAGCGCGCGGGTTGTGGCATCTGCCCCGACGGGTACATGGACTTCCTGAAACTGGACAACTCGATAGTTTGTGGGAGATGCATTGTCTTCTTCGAGCGGCGGAGGGACCGAGGATGATGATACAGTAACTCCGTCGCGGTGGGCTGAGGGCTCGGGGGCATTTCCCACAGGGAGGGCGTTATGACCGGGGTTACCGGCGTTATCGGGGTGTCCATTTTTATCTGCGAGGCCGTTGTTGGTGTCGACGACGCGAATGTTTTGTTCATCACGAACTTGGTCAGCCATGACGGTGATAGTTGAGTTGAGCTTTGGTCTCCGAGTTTTTGCAAGACGAGGAAGCTAGTTTCCCACAGACGGCGCCATTGATCTTACCTGATCAGACTTAGACCGTCACGACTGGTTCCGAGTAGAAGTTGAACGAGATGGAGGGGGGGGGGGGGGTACCTGCAAGGCACTCCGATGCTAAAGTGAGTGATAGTACGAGCAGGAAAAAAATGTGTATATGGGTAAGAGAATGAATACTTGACCCTCTAGGAATATAGGGTATTTATAGCCCCCAGCGCGGGGCCAAGGTCCCTTCATTGGGCCGACCAGGACTGACCCAATAAAGGAACTGCCAGGTTCTATGTGTGTCGTGGGGACCCGCACGTGGTCCCCTTTCTGGTGATGCTCTGCGAGAAGTACGGAGGAACGAGGACGCGGTCTTTCCGGAGTTCAGGTGATGGAGTAACGGTCGTAGCCTGCCCTACGAGGAGGGTGCTCGAGCTGGACTCGAGCTGGATTTCATGAGGTCGACGACGTCGTGTTCGCGGACAGCGACGGGCACAGCAGTAACTTCTGGTCGACGCATTGGCGGAAATCTTCGGACGCGCGCCTCTTGTAGAGCTGCTTGGATTGGGCATTCGTTTTTGCTCTTGGGACAGGACGGGCCCAGTCCAGAACACTTTTGTTAGGATGAGAGTTATGTGGAATAATGATAAGAGTGAGTATTTTAAAACAAAGAAAGGTCTTTAGATATGGAGATCCACTTTCTCCCTATATTTTTTTCTTTGTATGAATAAACTTAGTCATAAGCTTGAAGATGCTGTTGAGAATAGAAAATGGGATGATATGCAAGCTGCTGGGAGAAGTAACTATGTACACATTTAATAACTTAAATAATTAAATTATTAAAAAAAAATTAAAGGATCAACCTATTACATAAGAATAATATAAAAGACCTAAATTTTATCTAAAATTTGTAATACATATCATAAGTGTCAAATTTTTAAATGAGGATATTATTGTTATTTTGAATATAATTTAATTTCCTAAGTTTATATGGAGTTGATTTTGATAATAACGATGATTAGGGCGCCTCGTCAGATAGAGACACCAAGATGGGGCAAATAAATAGTTTTGACCCATTCCATAACTATTAAGGCAGCGAAGAGGGGAATCCATGTTGGAGCTTCGTTTTCTTTGTTAATTAAGAAACGTCCTTCTGACTCACAACCCAACACAAATCCCCGCTCATTATTATTATATCATTCATTTTCACCTGCCTATAAAACAACCTACCAGATTCGTTGAGTTTTCATCACACTCCCACAAACAAAAAAACACAAACCCAAGGAAATCTTAAAACAAAAGAAAAAATATGGTCGGTTGGGCTATTGCTGTTCACGGCGGCGCTGGTGTGGATCCTAATCTACCACCACAGCGTCAAGAAGAAGCCAAACAGCTTCTTACTCATTGTCTCAATCTTGGCATCTCCGCTCTCCGTTCCAATGCCTCCGCCCTCGATGTCGTTGAACTTGTCGTATGTCCTCCCATTCCTTCTCTCACAATCATGGGATAGTGTTATTATATATATGAACGTCGTGTTCTTGAATCTTGATCCATGCATGCATAACAATAACATATTATTCTCTGATATTTTAGAACCATTCGTCTGTTATTTTGTTTTTATTGATTTTAGGGTTTGTTTTTGTTCCTTTTTGTGACAGGTGAGACAATTGGAAACGGATCCTTTGTTCAATTCTGGCCGTGGATCTGCTCTCACGGCAAAAGGAACGGTGGAGATGGAGGCTAGTATCATGGACGGTGCCAAGAGAAGATGCGGTGCTGTTTCTGGTGTCTCTACCGTGAAAAACCCTATCTCCCTTGCTCGTCTTGTTATGGAGAAATCACCTCATTCATATCTGGCCTTTTCTGGCGCCGAAGAATTCGCCAGACAACATGTTTGTTTCATTATTTCCTATTTTCGCTCTCCAAAATTTGCAGAATGAATGATTAGTGGTTTGGTATGTTTTGGCTAGGGTTTGGAGGTTACAGAAAATGAATACTTCATCACCCCTGATAATGTTGGTATGCTGAAACTTGCAAAAGAAGCAAATGCAATTCTGGTAACAGATTTTTACTATGCTTTATATATATGCAGGGATTCCATGGATATTTTTGTTAAATGATTAATGAATGAGTTTGACGGACGGTGATGCAGTTTGACTATCGAATTCCGACCTCCGCTGGAAAATGTGCAGGAGTTGAAAGTCCAGTGAAGATGAACGGTCTGCCGATAAGCGTTTATGCGCCGGAGACGGTCGGATGTGTGGTGGTGGATAGTGAAGGAAGGTGTGCTGCAGCCACATCGACCGGTGGTTTAATGAACAAAATGAGTGGTCGAATTGGTGACTCGCCAATCATAGGTGCTGGAACATATGCATGTGAATTATGTGGAGTTTCTTGCACTGGTGAAGGTGAAGCAATCATACGTAGTACTCTTGCACGTGAAGTTGGTGCAGTTATGGAGTATAAAGGTTATAGGCTTCAAGAGGCTGTGGATTATGTGATAAAACATCGTCTTGATGAAGGATTTGCTGGTCTTATTGCTGTGTCTAATAAGGGTGAAGTGGCTTTTGGTCATAACTGTAATGGAATGTTTCGGGGTTGTGCTACTGAAAAGGGATTTATGGAGGTAGGAATCTGGGATTAGATAAATAAATAGGAAAATTATATAAAATACTAGTGTTTGAATTTTCTGTTCAAGACAAGTTATAGTGTCATTAGTCCTATGAATTTTAATAATTGCTAGAATTTGTATATCTCGTATGGCATATTTGCATGGTATGTAAATAAAATACCTTATGATTTTAGTATATTGTATCTCTGGTATTGTAGTGTTGTAGATCTAGTTGTTCCGGTCATTTAGTATACTAGAATTTCCTCAAAAGTTATTGTTTTTTTCTAGCAGTTTTTTCGAGAGTGTATTCTGATCAGAGATAATTTATTTAAGAAAAGTGTTTATCTGATCTCTGAGACTATTTCTTGTCTTTTTTGCTCTTTTTATATTGAGACGACCTCTCAACTCTTTGTGATTTGTGAAGTTGTTTACCCATTATGGTATCATATTTTTAGGTGGTTGAAATGGTAGGTTGTTTTACATAAAAACATTTTGACCTTTTTTGTGATATTTCTCATTCCTATAAGAGGGGGTTTGAAGATGATCATGGTGTGATTTAGAGGATGGTATAGTGTAATTTGGAGGGTCATGGTAAACTCTCGTGTCTTTATTGATTGACTTGAAAATCCTTTTATGTGTCTAAACTAATGAAGAGTTGAGTGGTCTCGATCTCCATTAAACGGCTGATGTTGAAGTTTTTCTATGTCTTTTTTGTTAGTTTTTGTTTCTTCTTTAATAATTGTTTTTTCTTTTTAATTTGAATCCCGAATTTAATATTTCTTGTATCTTTCTTGAATATTTGTATTGGTTGTAGAACCTATCATTTTATTTTGTATATATTTATTTTCCTTTAAAAAATTCTTATGTTTCTATAAACGAAGAAGCATTATTTTGTTTCTTTTTACAGATTAGGAAGTTTTGGAATTAATCACGCATCTAAAATTTCTATATTTATGTATTTTCAGATTCACTGGTTTCATTTTATAGAATAGGAAGTTTGGTATCGAAATTGATCATGCGTCTATATTATCTAATTTTTATTTCTTTACCTTTAGTTGATAATCCATGTTTTCTCTACAACTCCACAATTACAGTACTCTCTCGGGTAAGACCCACTTTCTATATAGTTTTATAATAGGAAAACACAATTTTTTTTAATATTCAAACGTATTAACAAATATTTCAACAATATCTTCTTATTATATTGATACTTGGAAAACACAAAATAAAAATCTCGGATATATCATAAACTATAGGAATATTTACATATAAATAACATTTATTACTAGTCACTTTTTTTAATATCGTGAAACTTTTAAGAAAATTTCTCTTCAATATATGAAAACAATGGATTTAATGTTTTTTTTATAGCCAAGAATGAATTAATGTGGAGAATTAATTAATGTTTTCATATGATTTATTATATAAGAGATTAAAAGTAATGTGTGATCGGTAAATTAATTTTAAAACTAAAAGTATGATTTGATAAGAATTGGTTAATAGTATAAAAATATTTTATATTGTTAGTACATTTTTTTTTCTTTTATTATAAATATTTTTATTTTTTTTAAAAAAGAAACATAATTATGAATATGGCAAATAAAAAATAATTAAAGCATTAGAAAATTTGAAAGAATCTTATAAGACGGAAAATATGATTTTATATTGATGGATACTACTGGTAGTTTATAGTTATAAGTCAACTAATTAATTTTGTAGTGTTTAATAAAATTAATGGTTGACCTAATGCCAGACCTAGTTTTCCGTGATTTTTCTTCAACTTTCTAAGCTTCTCATTTCCTCAACAAGCATTCAATTGAGTTGGTTCTTTTTGCTCTGTCTTTCTTGCCATGAAAGAAATACTTGGTTCAAGAAAAATCACAAAACGCACGAGGAATTTCATTTGGCCTAAGGGTGAACATGATGACCTGAAATCTATTTTTATCGTGACCTATAATTTTAGAAAGCATGTACAAACTTAACTTGGGGCCACCAAATCATGTGCACACTTGTTTGTGATGGCAAAACGCATTCCACTAGGTGCAAATCGACCTAAATGAGCTCAACAAGTCACACATTTTGTGCCAATTTCTCACACACTTGGATCTAGAAATTTCTCATTTCTTCACACATTTGAGATCTGATTTTCACTCAAGTCATAACCTCACTCTCTTCTATAAATAGAGAGTGATTCAACACTGAAAAACAAGCTTGAATAGTAAAAAAATCCCTTCCATTTTGAATCTCGAAAGTACCAAAAGTCAGAAGTTCGTTTTCACCTTTTCTCTAAATTTCGACCTTATTTCTTCACCCAGAACTCTTCATCATAACCTTTTGAAGCTGTGTGAACCATTACAAAAGGTATCCATGACCGAAAACACTCTACCCGATTCCACCATTTTCAAGCTTTGAAGCTCAGTTAGGAAAGGTAGATACAAGTTTCTTTTTCACTCAAATAAGTTACCATTCTCTTCGTCTTATTCCATTGAGTGTTTCCCCTAACCTAATTGGAATATATCTTTGATGTTTGAAATTTAATTTTACTTTTAAGTTGCTAGAGTTTTTGCGAATTTCTGCAAATTCTCCTTGCTCAGATCAAATAAATTGATCTTGAGCAAGGAGACATGAACGGTGAAGGATGAGGAAGCTTGCACCATTAGTTTTTGAGCTTGAAAATTCAGTTCATGAACCAGCTAAATCGAGGGTTCTGAGGTTAGGGATGAAGTTGCTTCGCGCCATATGAAGCCAAATTCAAATCATCGGCCAATTGAAACCTCACACGCGTGCTAGTTGTTGGTTTTCAATTTCTTTTTCTTATTTTAATTCATTTTATTTCCATTTCTTTTCTGATTTAATTTTGATTGATCCTTTGATCATTTTTGGCTCTTTTTTCTACAAAATCACAAAAATATTTTCTATCTCATGTATTTTTTTAGAATTTTAAAATGAATTTTAGTATATTTTATTATTTTCTATTTGTGTTTTTCTTAATTGATTTTAACAATTTATTTCTCCATCATTTTCAAATATTTTGGATCCAATCTTTTGAGATCTCGATCCTTAGAGTTTTTCTGATCTTCCATAATTTTCTTGAGGATTTATTTGAGGTTTGGATGCTTCATTTGAATTTTCCTTTTATTTTTTATTTAAAATCATCTTAAAAATCCTTTTAATGCCTTTTTATTTGTTTATTTTGGCATTTTATATTAGTTTGACTTCTGTTGACTTGGACCATGTCTTGTTTGATCAAAATCTTCATCAATAACAATGAACTTTAGGTGATACTTTGTTTGCATGAATCTTCATCAATTCAAACATGTCATTAAATGATCAATTGATCATTTTTGGTACTTTGGGTTGATGATAAGTTTAACACATTGATGCACCAAGAGAGGTGATTGAATTTTATGATAGATGGATCTAATGTTGTGATTCAATTTGGTCGCTCACTCTCTTCATCTCTTTCTTCTTTTACTTTGATCAATTGGATGATCATGGGTTTATCTTGTTCAATTTGTTTAGATTGATGCTTGATGAACTTTCATCATTTCAAATCTACCTATAAATGATCATTTGATCATTTTAGGTACTTTGTATTGGTGATAAGTTTGTCTCAAGGTATCATGAAGAGGATAATTGAAGTAATGACCTAATCTCCTTGCCTTTGTGCTTGATCACTTTGTTTTGGTTTTGCCTTATGTTGTATTGTTTTAGGAGGATGATCTCTATCATTCCTCTAACATGCGTTACACATAAATTGTTATTGACTGACCTCAGATAGGTGCAACTTCTACATAAGTTCACTTACGATTACTTAACATAGCACTAAATTATCCCGAATCGGATTACTAACTACTAACATTAATTCTATTAAATTGTATTAACTACTATCATTTACTTTCCGCACTTTACTTTTATGCCATTTATATTTCAGCACTTTACATTTCAAGCATTTTCATTTCATGTCATTTTACTTTATGTCATTTACTTTATATCATTTACTTTATGCCTTTCCTTTTTCCCATTGGGCTTTTGTTTTTATTTTTCATCAAAAGATATTAATAAAGGAAAAACCCTAAAAAAACTTGGCTCTGATTATTTGGACTATTGGTTATTATCCCTTGCTTGAGGAGATTGGACTTTTGGACTTAGTATAAATCTTTGGCTTGGATTTTCATCTGATGCTTTTGTTTCTATTTGGATTTTTCTTTCTTGTTGTGTGGCTTCCTCCAAAGGAAATGGAAAATGCTCTCTTTGACTAATGTCAATTGTTTGCTTCATCTTGGTTAGTTCACATGCACATACTAAGGCTTCTCCCTATTTCAAAATCTTCTCCATATTTCAAAATCTTCTTGTTTTCTAACTTGAAACCTCTTTCTCAATAAACCTTAACTTTGTCAAGTGATTTTTAAAACCTTTTCTTAATAAAGGTTAATACATCCTAAGCACATTAAAATCAGTTCAAAAGACTAAAAAACATAAAACTAATTCAAATCTTTTGTGCCCTTTGTGCACTTTTCCTTTTAAAACCTTTTCTCAAATATTTGACATTAGTTAATTCTTGTAGAGATGCAAATCACTATCCTTCTACAATATGATGTAAAGTGATTGACATTTTCCACTTGAATGTTGAGAATTGCCTTACTGATTAAATCCAAGCAAAATTCTCCATATCAAGATGATGCAAATGCTTCTTCCTCACGATTGTGGGTAGTAAGTGAGTTTTCCACTCGAACACGATAACATGTCTTTTCATTAAAATCAACAAAAAAAAATAAACTTTGTTATTTTTACCATAAACTATGAGGTTTTGATTCTTTATTTCAATGGTTGATACGTAGGCACGAGACTCTTGAAGTCTTGTAAAAAAATCATAAAAATAACTTCTTTTCTCATCCCATCAATCTTTTTGCAAACAACACCTTTTTTATAACACAAATTTTCAAGAGGTTCATGTGGAGTATCATTGATGTGAGGGGTTCTAATATCTTCCCCTTACATAACCAACCCCCGTATCCAGATCTCTTTTTTTT